TTCAATAGAGAAAAACTGAAAGCTATTCCTCCAAGAACAGGAACCAGACAAGGATGCCCACTTTCACCACTCTTATTTAACATAGTATTGGAAGAAGTCTTAGCCAGAGAACAAAATACCTAGGAATAAACTCAACGAAATAGGTGAAAGATCTGTACGCTGAAAACTATAAGACATTGTTGAGAGAAATTGAAGAAACCACAAAGAAATGGAAAGATATTCCATGCTCTTGGTTAGAAAAATTAACATAGTTAAAATGCCCATACTTCCTAAAGCAATCTATAGATTCAATGCAATCCCTATCAACGTCCCAACAACATTTTTCACAGAAATAGAACAAAGAATCCTCAATTTATATGGAACAACAAAAGACTCCTAATGGCCAAAGGATTCCTGAGAAAAAAGAACAAAGCTGGAGGTATCACACTCCCTGATTTCAAAATATACTACAAAGCTATAGTAACCAAAACAGCATGGTACTGGCACAAAAACAGACGCATAGATCAATGGAACAGAACCAAGAGTCCAAAAAGAAACCCACACACGTATGGACAACTATTTTTCAACAAGGGAGCCCAGAACATATAATGGAAAAAGGAAAGTCTCTTCAATAAATGGTATTGGGAAAACTGGACAGCCACATGCAAAAGAATGAAAGTAGACCGTTATCTTACACCATACACAAAAATGATATCAAGATGGATTAAAGACTTGAATGTAAGATCTGAAACCATGAAAATTCTAAGAAGAAAACATAGGCAGTATGCTCTTTGACATTGGTCTTAGCAGCATTTTTTCAAATACCATGTCTGACCCGGCAAGGGGAACAATAGAAAAAATAAACAAATGGGACTACATCAAACTAAAAAGCTTCTGCACAGCAAAGGAAACTATCAAGAAAATGAAAAGACAACCTAACAACTGGAAAAAGATATTTGCAAAGCATATATCAGATATAGGGTTAATATCCAAAATATACAAAGAACTCATACATCTCAACAACAAAAAAGCTAACAACCCAATTAAAAAATGTGCAAAAGATCTGAACAGAGATTTCTCCAAAGAAGATATACAGATGGCCAACATGCACATGAAAAGATGCTCAGCATCATTAAGTATCAGGGAAATGCAAATCAAAACTACAATGAGACTTCACCTCACTCCCATCAGAATGGCTATAATTAACAAGACAGGAAACAAGTGTTGGAGAGGATGTGGAGAGAAGTGAACCTTCAAACACTCCTGGTGGGAGTGCAAACTGGTGTAACCTCTATGGAACAGTATGGAGATTCCTCAGAAAATTAAGAATAGATCTACCATATGATCCAGCTATTCCACTGCTGGGTATTTATACAAAGAACTTGCAGACACAAATGCATAAAGATACATGCTCCCCTATGTTCGTTGCAGCATTATTCACAATAGCCAAGACTTGGAAGCAATGTAGGTGCCCATCAAGGGGCGAATGCATAAAGAAGATGTGGTATATATACAAATGGAATACTACTCAGCCATAAGAAATGATTAAATCTGCTCATTTGTGACAACATGGATGGACCTTGAGGGTATTATGCTGAGTGAAATAAGTCAGAGGGAGAAAGTCAAATTCTATATGATCTCATTCATAAGTAGAAGATAAAAACAATGACAAACAAACACATGGCATTGGAGATTGGATTGGTGGTTACCATAGGAGAAGAGGGGAGGGGGAGGGCAAAAGGGGTGATTAGGCTCACCTGTGAGGGGATGGACTATAATTAGTTTTTGGGTGGTGAACATGATGTAATCTGCACAGAGTTTGAAATATATTATGATGTACATCTGAAAATAAATACAAAAAATATTAAAAAAATATTTTCACAAGAATCTCTAGTGACCTGATGACCAGTGCTGGTGATCATTGCTCTCTATCTTACCCTAAAGGATGGTACATAAATTGACTTCACTGTCAGAGTCCTTCAGATCAGTGAGTACACTAAGTTCAGAAGAACTGGTCCATGCTCTCACTCAGGTACTGTCATCATAGATGAAGCATGGAGAGTGCTCTCACTCACCCACTATGGAGTAATACTTCTACCACGCACTGTGGTTGGGTGTATCAGGAGTTCTCCTCTGGTACGTCAGTTTCTAGGAGTTGATATGGATTGCAGCTATTAGAGATTGGCATATTTGACACCCTTTCCAACCCCCTTTCACCTGCCCTCCTGTATTACAAAGGCTAGACCGCTGAAAACTACATTCCCACACTCTCTTGCAACTAGGTTTCTGTTTGTAATCTAGATTCTGCTAAGAAAAATCTTGAAAGCAGAAGAGAGCAATATGAGGAGGCAACCACACATGGGGGAATCAGATCTTCAGACAAGTACAATGGCAGAGGAGTTTGGTTCTTCTGGGACAACTGCTGTGAAATGTTTCCTCTGCAGTTCCCACCATAGGTGCTAAGCATCTATGGGTTTTGCTAGAACGGCCTCGTTGAATGGTTGATCTCTTCTCCTGGCTCCATTTGAACTTAGTTTTCCTCCTACAAGTTTTGTTCACTACCTAATACCTTGTAATCAATCTTTTTCTGCTTAAAGTGGCTAGAGTGAATTCTGTTGTCTGCAACTAAGAACGCTGAATGACACAGTGTGAACTTTAGCTGACCATGGAGCTTTTTCATGGGAGCAGAATGGCCCCGCAATCCAAGGAATGGACTGCTGAGTCAGAGCTGTGTGGTGTACTAGCTGCAGATCTCCCACAAGTTAATTTGCTTTCTTTCTCTCTAATATGCAGATGATAAGGAATAAGTACAGGATGACTGTTTTTGTGATATTCTTTGGATTTCAGGAAATAATTATCTCAAATTATGCAAGTCACAAGAGGTAGATAGCATAGGGGAGGATATTGTAAGCATACATGTGTAACAATGGCAGCTGGGATGTTGGAAGATTCCAGAAACAGGAAATACAGTCACTTGAGTCTTAGAAGAGTTGGGCACTTGATCCACAGATGCTTTAGGAGCCCTAGCAGAAGGATTTTGATTTCTCTCTGGCTCTCTGCTATTAATATGACCTAGCAACTCTTGGAAGTCAGCTAGTTCGTTATCCTCTTCCTGTTGAATTGCATATTCATTAAAGTTCTTGATTATTCATAGTTTCTGTTTCCTCATAACTTGGGCTTCTCATAATTGTGTGTGGCCATGACCCTACCTGCAACTCTCTGAGTATATCCTTTCAGCTTTAGCTCCTCTTCTAAGTGCTGGATTGTTTCTGAGGTTCTAAGACAAAATTTCTAAGAATGAGAGTCTGATTAAACAAACTCATTGTTTTGTGCCAAGTATGAGGTCACTGCTCAGACTGGCCACATCAATGAGGTTGGGAGGTCAAGACAGCAGAGACTGTCCAGCAAAATTTGTGTTCCCTTTCCACAACATAGAATTGCCATTCAAAAGCAACTGTATTTACTCTTTTATCTAGTGGAGCCAAGTAATTAGTTCTTGCCAATGGAATGTGAGCAGAAATTTGTGTCATTTAAGGAAATTAAAAAGGGAGTATGTGCTCTAAACACTCTTTCTTTTTCCACAGACAATAGAGGAAACACAAGATAAAAAGAGGCTGGATCCCTGAATCACCACGTGGAGGAGAGCCACCAATACTCCAGGAACACCTACAGTAGACTATCACTCCTGAGTCTCAAACTTCTGTTAAGAAGCTACTGAAAATTTGAGATCTATTGTCACAGCTCTCAGCATTGTCTTGACCCTAAGTGGTTATAGAAAGTTTATTAGTTTCCTAAGAGTGCCATAGCAAAGAACCAGAAACTGGATGGCTTAAAACAATAGAAATTTATTCGCTCACAGTTTAGAGTCTAGAAGTCTGAAATCAAGGTGTCTGAGGGCCATCCTACTTCCAAAGGCTCTAAGGAAGAGTCATTCCTCGCCTCTTGCCAGCTTCTGGGAGCTGCCAGCAGCCCTTGGTGTTCCTTGACTTGTGGCTGCATCGCTCCCATCTCCGCCTCTGTTGTCCCACGGCCTTCTTTCCTCTTGTGTCTACTCTGTCTCTGTGTCTGACTCTCTCTCTCCTTTCTCCTATAAAATCACCAGTCATTGAATTTTGGGGCCTACCTCAATCCAGTATGACCTTATCTTAACTAATTACACATCTGAAGACCCCATTCCTAAATAAGGTCACATTCTGAGGTTCCAGGTGGATTTTGGGGGGACACTCTTCAATCCAGCACAGGCATCTAGAACAAACATGCCTCTGCACAGTGCCTCTTTAGCAGACAATATAGGCATGGGAAGCATTATGATCAACGTATTTGGTAAAATTGCAAAAAATGTTATTAATCTAACAGGCTATAGAAAAAATGAATGATGCAAGAGTTTAGGTTTAGAGAGCTAGTATGCTATTCTTTGAGTTCCACATCCTTCTGGGCTTCAGTCACAGCCGTCAGTGAATCACAACTGAAAAGTCTTGCTTTGAACTCATATAAATGCAGCTCTACCTCAGCCATTTGTTCAAAAGGATTTAAGGCAGATGAGAGGCCTCCCATTATTGAATGTACAGTTTCGCAGGGAGGTCAGATATCAAACATTAATTATGAAAATAACTACTTAAGTGTACTTGTTATAGATGCTTTGAAGGAGAATACAGGTGCAGCGTGAGTGGAGATCTATCCAGCCCCCCCGAGGAAGTAATGCTTAAGCCAAAACCTTAAGAGAGGTTTGCCATGTGTGTTTGTGCAGGTTGGGCACTGTACAACCATAGGGAGCATCTTTTACATTGAAATCTATGTGAATGGTGCTCTGGGGTCTTTTGCAGAGCACAGTCTATGAAGCTGAACATGGTAGCCCTGCTTAATAATGGTGAATAATGTTAAGCAGACGTGTGTGGGGGTGGTCGTGATGATACAGTTGAGAAGGAAGATAGACACTCGATAGACATAGTACAAGACCCTGAGGTGGGCAAACGCTTCACCTTCCCAGCTGCCTGACGTGGAGGAAATTATCTAAACTCTCAAAACCTCAATTATTTTATTGGTAAAACTGGCGAGAACAGTAGTTATCTGGCAGAGGGAGACTGAGGCGTCGCGACTCTGCGAGGAAGCGCAACTCCGGGCGTAGCATAGTGTTCAGTCTCTGTGTTTCCTTCTGTCTTTTGTTTCCTAGAAACAAGGTGAGCTCGGGGTCACCAAATGACATATAATAAATAGCAGCTATTTAATTCACACCTTTCCCACCAGCACTTGAGGTTCTAGAACTACCCATGGTTGTTAGATAAGGCTTGCTTTCCAGGTGGCCTGTGTGAGAAAGGAGGGCCAAATCGGGACAAAATGAACAAGTTACTCTAGGCCAGAGATAACGAAAAGAGAACTGAAATTACGACGCTCCCACCACACAGTCCACGCCCTTTTCCTCCTAGCACTCGACTCGTCTTATCTCCTGCCCAATCTGACATTTTGATCCTTCAGGAGGCAGTTGTGCTGTGTCTTTATGACCCCACTCTATTTTTTTCAAAATTTTAATTTTCTTTTATTGTGGTAAATTATGCACAACATGAAACGTCTTTTAAACCATTTTTAAGTATACAATTCAGTGCTATTAAGTATCTTAACAATGCTGTGAGGCCATTACCACCATCATTTCCAGAATGTTTCCACCATCCCCAACAGAAATGCTATACCCATTAAATGATACCTCCCCTTTCCCCCTGCCCTCAGCCCCTGGTGACTTCTACTCTACCTTCTGTCTCTATGAATTTGCCTATTCTAAACACCTCATAGGAGTGGAATCATACAATATTTTTCCTTTTGTGTCTGGCTTATTTCACTTACATAATGCCCTCCAGGTTCATCCCTGTTGTAGCATGTGTCAGAATGTCCTTCCTTTCTATGACTGAATAATATCCCATTGTATGGACATGCCACAGTTTGTTTACCCTGCTCTCTTTTGTCCAGTTATCTTTGTGAAAACGAGTCGATCCAACTCCCAGTGACCCTGTGGACAGCAGAGAGGACCCTGCCCAGACTTTTTGCGCCATCCTCTCACCGCCCAGTGCTATCAGACAATGCTCCGCTGCTATTCATAGGGTTTTCATGGCCAATTTCTTCAGAAGTGGGTGGCCAGGTCCTTCTTCCTAGTCTGTGTTAGTCTGGAAGCCTTGCTGAAACCTGTCTGCCATGAGTGAGCCTGCTGGTATTAGAAATACCAGTGGCATAGCTTTCAGTGTCACAGCATCTCACAGCTGCCACAGTATAACAACCGACAGACAGGTAGTGTGGTTCCTTGACGGAGAAATGAACCTGCGCCCTGTGGTAAGAGCACAAACTCTTATCCATTAGACCACCACAGTTATCTTACTGTAATGCTGTTGTTTGCCTGCCCCCACTACACTGTGAGCAACTTGATGGCAGATGTAGCAGCTTTCTACAAGGGACCCCACAAATGTCCTGCCTGAGTCCCTGGGATCTGTGAATACGATGAGATTATATTTTGTTATATAGGAAGACTGATCTGGATTAGTCAGGGAGGTCCAATGTAATCACATCAACCCTTAAAAGTGGAGAGTTTTCTCCGGCTGACCACTGAAGAGGAAGGTAGAGAGAAACAAAGTGTGAGGGGTATTTGACACACTGTTACTGGCTTGAAGATGGAGGGGCAATATGAAAAGGAATGTGGGTGGCTTTAAGAGCTGAGGGAGCAGCTAGCCTGGTGGCATAGCGGTTAAGTTTGTGTGCTCCACTTCAGCGGCCTGGGGATCACCAGTTCGGAGCGCAGGCATAGACATACACACTGCTTATCGAGCCATGCTGTGGCAGGCATCCCACATATAAAATAGAGGAAGATGGGCACAGCTGTTAGCTCAGGGCCTATCTTCCTCAGCCAAAAAAGAGGAGGGTTGGCAACAGATGCTAGCTCAAGGCTAATCTTCCTTAAAAAAAAAAAAGAACTGAGGGAAGCCCTGGATGACAGACAGCAAGATAACCCAGACCTCAGGCCTATAACTGCAAGGAACTGAATTATGTCAACAACATGAATGAATGTGGAAATGGATTGGTCCTTGGAACCTATACCTGAGATCCAGCCTGGCTTACACCTTGATTTGGCCATGTGAGACCCCAAGCCTCGCCATGCTGAACTTCAGACATGCAGAGTTGGGAGCTAATAAACGGGCGTTGGATCAAGCCACTAATTTGTGGTAATTTGTTACTGAGCGTTAGAAAACTACAACAGCAGGCACTCTGCCTTCTCATGTGTAATCCCCAGCGTTTAGCCCAGTGCCTGGAACCGATCAGCTTCCAGTAAGTATTAACCAAATCATTGATTGAAGGAGGAGGTGGGAAGAGGGGATGATGGAAGGAATAGAAAAGGAAGGAAAAATGAAAAATGGGGGAGGACGAAGAGAAAAGGAGAGATTAAGAGAAGGGAAGAGCGTTTGAGAGGGGGTCTTCACTGAAAAGGGCAGGATGGAAATGGGTCCAGAAAATATCTGGATTATCCTTCATCTTCTCCTGAAATTCAGACGTGTCAATGCTCCTTTTATTCTACTGGATGTTTTGATTAATTGTGTAAATCAGCCATTTGCTTAGTGTCGTGTTGGCACAATTTGTGACTTGAATGAACAGAAATCATAAACAAGATTTTATTTTAATTAAGAACAGTTCAGATTTAAGCCTTGAACATTCATTTTCTGATCTCTTATTGCGCCCAGACAGTAAAGAATGGCCTGCTGGTAAAAGTCCCTGAGGGCAGTAAGTCAAGGGGAATTGGGACTTTAATATGTCTGGATTTTGAAGGAACTTGGCAGAAATAATTGTAAATTGTTCTTGTGAAATTATATGCCTTGTTCTACTCTTAGAAACAGAATTAATTGATCCCATGCATGACTACATATCTGGATTTTGAATAATGTAAAAACACGCATAAGCTTCTGATGTCTAAAATGTCACTTTTAAAGCTCCTCCTGTAAATAGGATAACTTCTTTGACAAAAATATCTTCCTCATCCACATACTACGGTCCTCATAATTTCACCTTTAGACATTCATTTCTTTAGATTAACATTGATGTTAACCCTTATGAAATACAGCTATATTACTAGAAGGAATAAAATGTAAATTCACTAACCTTTAAATATTAATAAAATATATCAGATGATTTTTCTCTCTCTTGCGCATGAGCAATGAGAACCTGTTTGTATGGGAAACACTGAAGAGAAACCAGCATTGTGACTGAACCAGGTTTGTTTTGCCCGCCTCACAATTATGCCAATCACCAAGACTACGAGTTTGCAAAGAGAAAGGATGTAATCACAAGGCCACCAAGAAAGGAAGCAGGAGAACCAGTCTCAAATCTGCCTCTCCAAAAGTGGAGACTCAGGGAATTTATGGGGTAGGGAGCAAGGTGGTCTGAAATGTAAGGTTGATGACTGGAGGTGAGAAGTGAGGTCCTTGATGATCTGTGCAAGCATAGTCAAGCTTCATGGCTCTTCATAGGATGCATGTTCACAAAATGGCGGTGTTAGCAGGCCCAGTCGATGATTTGTTGGCCTCAGCCAGCCTGAACTGGACCAGGAGCTGACTCTCGCTTCCTGAAAAACTTGAGCAGCCCGCCTGTGAACTTGGTGACCCAAGCCCCAGAGACGTTATCTACAGGATCGGCTTTAGGAAAGTGATATCTAACTAACTACTTTTGCAAACAGACAACTGAGTACAGGTAAACCAAGTTGGCCCCTGTTTCAGCATCAAAGTCAACTTCACTTTTTTGAAATTCTCTGTAACACAAGCCCCAGATGGAAAGATTATAATTGAGTTCCAAGTTAGATTTCACAAGCTGATCTACTGCGTGGTCAAAGGCATGTTCAAATGTCAAGGTCAGGAAGGTTGCTCTGGAGCTTAGCTGCTTCCTTTATCTGATTAGACACATAAAGTGATCATGCTCATCAAGACGATTATTTACACATTTTTTTCCATCAATGCCGTTCCTTTAATTCCTAGTTAAAAATTGTAAATCATATTTTCCCCAGCTTTCTTGAGGTATAATTGACAAACAAGATGCTTATTTTTCACAGTGACAGAATGACAGCCTCATCTCGCTGAAGAAAAATAGGAATATCTTTGGGCACATAACTGAAGAGTCCAGAAGAGTGCAGACTTCAAGCAGAGATGCGAGATCTTGTGTCAACTGTTCATCGAAACCTCCTCCTCTCTGTCCTGCTCTCTTTCTGCCTCACTGTCTCTAACTCTTTTTTCACTCTTTCTCCACTCCCCCTCCCCTCCGATCTCCTCTCTTTCTCTCCATGTCTCAAATCTGCTTTTCCTGGTGTTGGTTTTATTCTCTGGAAATTTCGTTCCCCTCGTAAAATAGATGGTATCTTACAGTGCTCCAGGAATATATTCTGGTTTATAGCCTATAATTTCAGAGAGAAAGGCTATGGTACAAGTACTGGGAATGACCCTGACTGGCCAAGGTTTGGTGACTTTCCCATCCCTGAAGAGGGAGATTGGTTCTCTGTGCTCCATGTGAGCGAGAGGCTCTCTTACCAGAAGAAGAGAAAGAAAAACGTTTTATGCAGATGAATCTCAGCTTCTACAGTCTAATTTCTGGGAGCTATTTGGAGTGGGGATTAATCAACACTTGGCTTCATCTTTTTACAGCAGGGATCAAAGTTTCTATTTCACCTTGATGTTACATGCTTTCAACAATTCTACAGCAGAGATGGAAGAGGAGAACAGGGAGAAAGAGGGGGAAAGCAATGCTGAAATTTTATTGTTCTCTCTGCTAAGAATACAACAGCTGAATCACTGCCCTTCAAATTATGAAAAATATTTTCTTTTTCTAGGAAGATTAGCCCAGAGCTAACATCTGCTGCCAATCCTCTTCTTTTTGCTGAGGAAGACTGGTCCTGAGCTAACATCTGTGCCCATCTTCCTTTACTTTATATGTGGGATGCTGCCACAGTCCATACCTGGGATCAGAACTGGCGAACCCTGGGCCGCTGAAGCAGAATGTGCAAATTTATCTGCTGCGCCACTGGGCCGGCCTGAAAAAATATTTTCAAAACTAGAAACATGCACTGTTTTGATGAAATTGGAGTTCCAAATTCCGATTTGACTACTGTGTTATTAGAGTTAAAAGGTAGTTACATCTTGTCAAGAATTAAGTGCTGGAATAAGATTTTTTAAAACAAAATGGAGAGTTCTAAGTTTGGGTCTGCCGCCAACTCTTTACGAGATCTTTGTTGCTTAATCTGTTATCAAATAAAAAATGTATGAGTATTAGTGACCATTTTTGGGATTAAAGAATATCAAAGACCTCTACCTCAATAAGATTAGTATTACAATGTTTATAATGAGAAGAAAAGTGGATTCCAGCCTTCCCTTTTCCCACTTAGAAGTGCTTCTTGTGGACTTTGTGAGGAACATGTTCAGTGCACTCCCAGTGTTGAGTCCGAATACGTAAGCGGAGAGAGGGCAGGCCCGTTCTCAGGAAGGATGAAATAAAGTTCAATCTTCCCCGGGAAGACACAGCGGAGCCCTTCCCACCACTTCCATCATTGTCCTTTTTAAAAATGAAGCCACAATCTAAAAAAATTTTAAACCCAATAGACCTAGATTTACCCCCAAAACAGTTTCTAAATGTTACTCTCAGGTACTTTGAGTACTATTGATGAAAAGCATCATCCTCTCTTTTTTAAAAATACGTTTATTTTGAAAGAATTTTAAGTTCCTCGAAGTTGCAAAAATAGTACAGATTTTCTATATATCTGTCATCTAGCTTTCTCTAATCTTAACGTCTTACATATCACAGTACAATGATCAAAACTAAGAAATTAACATTGGTATAATACTATTAAGTAAGCTACAGACTTTATTTGGATCTCCCCAGTTTTTCATCTAAGTCCTTTTACTGTCCCAGATCCAGGTGAGGATCCCATGTTGCATTTTACTGTCACGTCCCTTCAATCTGTGACAGTTCCTCAGTCTTTCCTTATCTTTCATGATCTGGACACCTTTGAAGAGTACCGGGCAGGGATTTTGTAGAATGCCCTCAGTTTGGATTTGCTTGATGTTTTCTCATGATTAGGTCGGGGTTCTGTAGTTTGGAGAAGGATACAACAGAAGGTTTCCCCTCTCAGAGCACATCAGGGGGTGTGTGATGTCAGTACGTCTTAATTCTGGTGAAGTTATTCTTAATTATTTGGTTCAGGTAGTGTCTAGTGGGCTTCTTCACTATAAAGTTACTATTTTTTTTCCTTTAAAATTAATAAATATCTTGGGGGAGATATTTTAAGACTGTATAAATATCATGTTGCTCCTCAAATTTTGCTTACTGATTTTGGCATCCATGGGAGGAAATTGTCCACAATTATTACATATTATTGATTGGAATGCTTTTGTATAGAAGAGCTGCCCCTCTTAATTTATTTATACATTCCATTATTTATTTGTATTAGTATGGACTTGCAGGTATTTGTTTTATTTTATGGGTTATGATCCAACATTAGTTATTTATTTTGTTTCTCAAACTGTTTCACCTTTGGCCATCGGATGCTTTTTCAGGTTGTCCTGTTCTTGTGATTAAGAGTCTTGTGACTAGGAGTGAAGGAGAGCAAGGGGGCCATGTGTGTTTTGAATGCTAAAAGGCCATCTGATAAGCACTTTGCATGAGCTTCTCATGTAATTTCACAACATCCCTATGAGGTAAGCATTAATATCCCCAGTCTACATGGATTGTAGGTCTAAGACTTAGATAGGCTAAGCAGCTTGCCCAAGGCCACAAAGCACTTGTGAGGTAAAAATAGGATTTACACCTGGTTTTGTCTGACTTCAGAGCCTCTTTCTGATATGCCACACTGCCTTGCTTTAAGGACTCAGGCCTTGCCTTGGGCCAAAGTTCCAGTAACAGAATGCTTAATATATGCCCGCTCTCTTAATCAATTCACCCAATCCTGTCTCCCTTTTCCCAGCCTCTTTCCTTCTTCCCCCAGAGGGACTGAGGTCATAGAGTCACAAACAATGGGGGCTCTAGAGATCTTAGAAAAATTCTGTTCCAAATCTCTCACAGTGCAAGGGAGAAAAATGAGGCTCATGGGGGACGCAGGTAGATAGTGAGCTGAGGCTGGACCCCAGGTCCCCGGACTTTGAGTCCAAGTTCTCTCCTCACATGGTCAGAGTCCAGCTCTCTACAGACAGAGTCAGTTGTCTGTTTCTGAGCTTGGAGAATTGCATTCTGGAAGCTGAAGGCTTTCCGGAGCACATCAAAACTATAGGGAAACATGTATTGATTCCTATCGCTATACCAGCATCTCTGTAAGAATAGCACCCATAAAAAAAACTCTAACACTACATTTCTTCAAATAAAAAGAGCCATGACTTTGATCCATGTGGGATCAAATGGACTTGTGCAACAATAGGGGAGAATTAATTCTCTGGCATCTTGGAATTTTTCTACCTCATTTGAATCTGGGAGGTCCCAGCTGAGTCAGAAGTACCAAAACAAAAAGAGAACATCAGAGAAATGTGGAGAGGGGGAGGGAAGGAGAGAAGACTTTGCTAAATTTTAGGTCATCTACATTAAAGCTGTCAAAGAGCATTTCATAAAATATCGGCTCCTCACTCCTCCCCCAACCCCCAAAAATGGAATACTAAAAAAAAGTTAATGTTATGATACTTAGAGAATAGAAACTAGTCTTAACAATTACTACCTATTGTATCTCAGGGTTTCAGAACCTGGGTGATGCTTTTTCCTAGTGACAGGGAATAAACACAGTCAAGGAGCAAGCTTGAAGCTGGCATGATACTCAGCAACTGAGAGCTGGGAGACAAGCCCAGGGAACCGTGGATGAGTAGCTGGTAGCTCACTGGCAAAAAGAAGGAAGGTATCATTCATGGGCTGAGCACCTAGGTACCTGGGCACTAGGGCAGGGCCTTTACACATATATTCTCTGCGTCTACATGACGAAAGTGCAGGATCATTACGATTATATTCATTTTGCAGAAGAGGAAGCTGAGGTCAGAGAGGTCAAGTCACTGTGCTAAGGTCACATGGTTTAAGTGCCAGCACCACCCAGTGTGACTCAAGCTTCACTGGCATGGGAGCCATGGGGTGGTTCCTGGAAGAGATTGTGTGGTCTCAACCAAGCAGACAAACCAGTTGGGTGGAGGGGCAGGTGGTGTTCTGGAGTCTTTTGGGCTGCTGGTATTATCAGGAAAGTCTGTCTTC